AGTAATGTGGCCCGTAGGCTTTGGGAGTGACTCGTAGTCTACTCTTCTTTGACTTTTGCCCGTGCCGGAGAGGCGACCGGGTCTTAAGCAATAATGTGGCCTGTAGACTTTGGGAGTGACTCGTAGTCTACTCTTTTTTGACTTTGCCCGTGTCGGAGAGGCGACCGGGTCTTAAGCAGTAATGTAGCCCGTAGGCTTTGCCTGTGATGTGTCGAGCTATGATTTTGCTGCATCAGCTTCGTAATGCTGGTTACCCACTCCTACAAGAAGCTACTAGGAGCTCGACCTTCGGGGGCAGCACTACTAACTTTAGGTTGCCAGCTCACACGGGAGCCTTGGAAGGCTCGACCGGTAAGGGCGCCTATGTAGTCTGTTGGCCGCCAACTCCCACAGAAGCCACGAAGAGCTCATCTTTGTAGGGGGGACCTTGCGGAGAGGACTGAAGAGACATTATCTAAATTGAAAGTAAGGTTGGCAGAGCTACTTAGTTTGTTAGCTCCCTGCATAGTCTTTGAGTTCATAAAAAATGTAAACTATAAAGCGATAGATTCAATTTCTAAAAAGTGAGGACTTAGCTTTGGTAAGATGAGAACTTAGCATTTGTAGCATGAGAACTTAGCTTTTTGTAGCGTGTTCCCACAGACGGCGCCAATTGATGTAACCATTTCTGGTCACGTACCATTTTTTGTGATGTATAATTTTTTTGGCTAAGTACCTCGTTATTTGACCCGGTGGTGACGTGCCTTGGTGATGAGCTACTTGGTGGCAAACTCCCTGGTGGAGAACTGCTTGGTGGCGAGCTCCCTGGTGGAGAGCTACTTGGTGACGAACTGCTTGGTGGCAAACTCCCTGGTGGAGAACTGCTTGGTGGTGAGCTCCCTGGTGGCGAACTGCCTGGTGGCGAGCTGCCTGGTGGCGAACTGCCTGGTGGTGAGCTCCCTGGTGGTTAACTGCCTGGTGGCAAGCTCCCTGGTGGACTCGTCATTTGACCTGCTCCTAGGCGGCCTGCAACTCAGAGGATGGTGGAGCTCCCTGGTGCAACGCAACCTGACTACTCTCTGCATTAGGTGATTTCCTCTCCTTTGTAGGCGGTGGGAGCTGGGGGACCTACGAGAACTGAATCAGAGGACCCAGGGGTATTTTCCTGGTGGGGACTCTCCGATGCCTAAGTTAGCATTCTGATTACAGAGAGCTTGGAGAGAAATGTGAGAGCTAGAGAGCAGGGGTTACCATCCTTTTTTCCCTTCCCTTGGCTTTGGTGGTTGGAGTCCTTATATAGTGGTGTCCTCGCGGGTTAGGTGGGTGAAAAGCCTTCAAACGGTAAG